AATGTCACGAGGTTTGTAAACTTAGATGTTGGGGACAAAGCCATAGAAGAGATTTAGAATAAATTATATATATATATATATATATTAACGTTACTTATAATTTAAGTTAAAATGTACTTTTGTGTCTCTATTTTTTTATTCTGTTAAAAAGACTCTTAAAAGAGAGAAAACAGGTTATAAACTGTTATATACTTGATTTTTGTAATGTTTTAAACTTAAAGAGTTGAAATATAGAAGTGCATGTTCTCTCATTATATACGATGTTGATGAGAACTAGAACCATTTATATAACTTAGGTAAATTGAAATGCTAGGATGGGGAAAATGTTCGTAAAAACTGTAAGCCTGTAAGCGGCGAAAATGGTCAGCTTTTGCAGAAGCACTTGTTTCCTTCCTTCCACAGGCAGACAAGGTTGACGCAGCCCTGCACTCCATGATGATCAAGGTGGACCCCCAGCGCCAGCACCTGGCCTGTTTTGGCACCTGGGTCCTGTACCACATCCTCCGCATCATGATCCAGTACCTACTGTCTGGTCTGGAGCTGGAGCTGTACAGCACACATGAGTATCAGTACGTCTTCTGGTAAGTGCGTTTATCCTTTTCATGTACCACATATGCAGTGTCATTCTAATTTCTCTAAAGTACATGTTTTGTATCAACTAGCACAGCTCTTGGCATTGTCAATGTGGTTTACTTGAAATTTTTCTTTAAGAGCATCCAATGCGATTTCAGGGTGGCAAAACTATATATATACAGAAATATTCTGATTAAGGGAATCTTTGTGATATTGACACATACCGTATTGTTTCACATTAGCACATTTAAATCAGCATTTCATACTTTTGCCATTTAAAACTGCAGAAACAAGCCCCAAGATGAGACCTTTATTTTCTGTTTTATTTTACCATTTATTTAAGTCAGCCCAGGGCCCTTCCAGTAACCGTTTTCATCAGAATTTTGGGAATTTTTGCTCCATGAGGGTCAATATACATTGGGATAGTGTGGTTTCAGCTCAGTATATGACTAGAATATTGGCTTTGAAGTAGCCCTAAAAAATGCACTGGATGCCTTTAAAACTAAACACCAACATTGCCTCCTGACTCCAACATTTCCTTCTTGGTTTGTAATGTTGCTTTTTTTTTTAACCGTCAGGCATCATGTGTTCAATTAGTCTGCTTTCCAGGTTGGCCGCCTCATAGTAATTTGTATCATCCAGACAATTTTCCAAGAACATTAATAATTATGCAATGTTACAAACACTGGAGAAGATAAACATTGTGCAGTATGGTAGAAATAATACAGAAAAAAAACATGCTGCTTAAACTGAACTATAAACAAAAATTTAAGATGCAAGCTTGATTTTAAAAAATTCAGAAATTGATTTGTGCAAAGTTTCTCCAAAATGTAAGTGCTGTATCAAAGAGCAGTTCTTGCCAATTTGTATGTGGTCCCTGTTCACTTGAAATACTATGACTCCTGATATTTTCACTGTACGTTTACGTTACTGTGAACATAAAGTGACTTACAGTATGTGTTTGTGTCAGGTATCTGTATGAGTTTCTGTATGGCTGGCTGCTGTCCACCCTGTCTCGTGCAGAGGCCATGTACCAGGAACACGACGCATACATGGAACAGCAGAAGGGAGGCAGCAAGAAGAAGAGCAAGAAGAAAAAGAAAGGTGAGCTGCATAGGGAAAGTATACTATCCTAGTCTGTATGAAGATGTTTTTATCAAGTTCAGGGCTCAAATACCCACATGCAACTTGCAATTTGCTTATCCTGCACATGCAATTTTGTATGTTGAAAAATCAGACGGACTTCCCTTCAAACTGTGAAAGAAAGAAATTTTAAAATCTATTTATTATCTCTTTTCTGTGTGAAAAATTTGTATATTGTTGTTATACAGGTATATACTACAAATGTAATGTTGGAGAGCTTTAGTGTTTACTACATGTACTGACGAAATTCAATTTTGTATGTAGATTTTGCTAATAACATGAAGAATTTTTGCCCACATGCAATTTTGCATGTAACCAACAAAAAGAATTTCAAGCCCTGAAATTGTTGTGCCTGCTAGGCCTAAAGCACAGTCATCTGTGTGTCTGGAAATACCATGTTACCTGATGTATCTACCATGTTTGTGAAAAGTGTGTACAAAATCTGATGTTCCAATAGAGATCAGCACTATGACTGTTTTCGAATGTGTGTCAATATGCAAGACACAATTCAAGTTAATTTGTATGAAAGCATGTGTGCCTAGGTGTTATGTCATGTTTCTAGTTTAATTTCTGGTGTTACTGGTAGTGACCTTGTTGAGAAAACTTTGTGTCCCTCCAGGCCGACCACCAAGCAAGGAAATTGTACTTGGCCAAGCTGAACAGAGCTTATGTGGAGGATATTACAAGGTAGGAACAGATTCATGTAGGCTATTACTTTCTGTTTCTTATACATTCAGTCATCTTAATTTGTAATATACAAAAGATTCTGCAAAATGGATAAATTAGAATTTTGATTGAAGGATATTAAAAAGTGTTTTTATGTCTACCATTGCAGAAGGAAAACATGTTGTTTTCGCTCAGAGGTCTGTCACCATGGTAACTGCTGCTGTGGCAGACACGTTGTGGTGTCGGGTTACATTTTTATGGCAAGACAGATTTGGAGATAGATAGATATGAATATGAAATGTGTTTGAATAAGAATGTGCAGAGCAGTAGTTTCTAGATCATAATGCATTTGCTTTGCAAATGTTACCTTTCTAGTTTATCCATTGTTTCCCATTTTGTAAGGGAAATGTCTTTAAAAGTTATGCTGGTTTAATACCATGATATCAATGTTGGTATGTTGTTCTCACCAGGCCATACAGGGTTTCTACCTTGATGAGCGGTTGAAGAAGCCGGTGTTTGAGTTCGATAACGAGCAGGTTCGCTACGAGCATCGCTTCGCGCCCTTCGCCAGCATCGTCACCCCCCCACTGGTGCCATATTCACAGTTCCAGGCAAGTCAACAGATTCGTAACTTCTCCTGCAGGCTTCAAGTGATGTTATGACAATGCAGACAAAACAGAATTACAATGTACATGTAGGTGCAGATTACAATATAGATGTACAAAATGTTAAAGGCATCTAATTCAATTTCAGGGATGCCAAACTGGATTTTCAAAGTCAATTTTCTTGTTATTCTTTTAATGTAGCAAGTTGAATCGATCCTGTTCCATATTTTATATAGTGATATCTTTGAGGCAAAAATGTGATGTCGCTGATGGAAAACGGTTGCTTGTTTTGTATTGTAGGCTGGTTTTATTTAGGGGTGGCACCTAAAAATAAAGGGATTCCTCACTTAGCTTGTTTTGGGCAATTTCAAATGGTTTAAGTATAAAATGGGCTAAGAAAATGTGCTAAGAAATGCCAAATGAGTCAATATCAGACAGATTTTGATCATCCAGAATATTTTTTGTTTTGCAGCTCTGAAATTGCATTGGATGTCTTTAACTGTACCCCCCGTACTCAGTATGATACATTGAGGGCTTAACAGGATTTCATAGACTGGTTTTCCATTGAGTTATATCTGTCACAACAATCTTCTTTATTTCACCAGGACATGGTAGCTCTGGAGAAGTTCTCCCCTCCACTACAGCCTGCAGACTTCTACGTCCAGGCCTGTAAATGTTTCCAGCAAGCCAAGAACATCTACGAGAGTTTCCCCAACCAAACCAAGGAGGTGCAGACGCTCTGTAAGATCGCCAAGACCAACTTTGTAGTCGTCAAGCTACTGCTGGGAGGTCACAAAAGAGAGTCCAAGGTATGTTTCCAGTTGTGTTGTGTGTTATTTGACCAATTCAATTTGCTGGGAAATTAAGGTAAGATACTAGTAACTCAAAGTGGCTATATTATAAGAATATGGTAAGAAGAAGAAAAAAAGACTACCGGTAGATTTTTTCGTCTTGTATCATATTAACTGTCGTATGAAATAGTAGTATCAAGTTGAACTCATGGCTTTACTTGTCCACTGTTGCAGTCACCCCCTGAGTGGGACTTCACAGAACACAACACTTTCCCCATCATAAGACTGACCTAAAGCCTGCCGTGTCCCGACATCCGGGGTCCTGCTGAAATTCTCTGTCATCAGCTTTTAGAACTGTTGGCTCCACACCAACTGGAGCACATGCTTGGCCCAGCAGGGTATGTTATATGTGGCAGATATGGAGTACTTGCCATCTAACCTAGAAAATTTGTCAGCACTCAAAGAGAAAGACTGCAGTGTTCGTTGTGGTCAAAACAGGGCTCTAGCCAACTCGAATTTTTTTCTGTCAGCCCAGGTTCATGATCAGACTTGGGGGGAGAGTCCTCGCAATCTGGGAGGGGGGGGGGGTCCAGGGGTAAATTTTAGATTTTCAAGCTTTAACAAAAATTCAATTTCCAACAATATCACAATATTAGAGGCGAATCATGGGGTTGACATTGCTTGTCAATTTTGCCCGCCAAGGTTGATGGCTTGGTTTAGAAATTTTTCCACCATATGCCACAAAATTCCAGATCTGCAACTGACACAAAAATGGGTGTTGGCTAGAACTTCATTTGTTCATTGAGTCAATGTCTCTCTTTAAATGGAAGCACACCAGTCTATCCACAACCCCCAATCTGAGCTGAAGCCTTAAACTGAAGAAACAAACTACTGCAGTGTGTTTCAGTTCACCATGCTGTAACTATAAGTACCTTGGTACCTTAACTATAACTATAAGTATGAACCAAATAAAAAAGTTGTTGAAATATACATTGTATATTGCTATGTTCTCACTCTCTCACTATCCGGTTTAGTGTCTGAGGCTTGATGGCAGCCTGCCATTTGCCTCTGTCCTGTGGGTTCACGTTATGTATGTTAAGGTGGTAAGTCCTCCCTTAAGTTATGTTGTCCATCCATCTCTTCCTTGTATACCCTTGTGGGTTTTGGCCTTCCACATCCAGTGTGATGATCTTTCTACATGTATGCCACTTCTCACTGTCCATTCTTTGTCAGCTAGATCTTGTATGTTTTAAAATGGCATTCTTGATACTCAAGTTCAACAAACTGTTAACCATGAATTAAAGGATACAAGAGACAGAAATGCACGTAAAGAAATTTCTCAAGCAGGTATTCCCATGTTCACTACTGTTTATTATTACCATTACCATTAGTCACATTTTCAAATGGTTGCCATACATACGTTTCTTGCCAAATCTCTTCCATACTTTCTCCCACACTCTACCCTGCAGCTATACTGATAGCCTTGGGACATACATTTTGCTCTGTGTGGAAGAATGCTTCCATAGTGCCTGTGGGGGCCATACGATGCTCATAAATAATATGCAACACGTGCAACATTATATCACATCACAGCATTATTGCTCATCTGTGTGCATACGAGAAGGCAGCGCCAAACACAAATTAATTGTGCGTACAAAAACTCATTTGATCATGTCTTCAGTAGAGTCATGATCAGTGAAAATCAAAATCAACCGTGACAATAATATTATAACAATGCTTGGCACAAAGTTACAACACAGGTACAGGGTAACAACTAAATATTAAATAATCTTGAGTTAAAGGCTCCAAATCATAATAATCTCATTTACAAGTGAAGTTAAAATTTGTGTACCTACATGTATAGGCCCAAAGAAACACTCAATGACATGTTTACCTTGTTTTCTTACTACAATAGTAATCTTCCAGGTTTTCACCTCAAATCTCTGAAAAAGTCCATTTTTATAGTCCATACCAGACTCAGTGGCTTACTGAAAAATAGTAGAAATTGGTCAAATATGTTAAATGATTTGCCTGGGGAGTTAGCCAGCTATTAAGTTACCATTTGCAACATATGTTCCAAGTTCTAAGATAAATTACTCCTTATATCTTGGCCAAATTCTACATTTTTTTCAGTCTGCAAAAAGGTCTGTTGCACTGAAGCACTGTGTGCAAAGCTGTAATGATTGAAAAAGGCCTCATTTTTATACCATTGCAACATCATTGCAAAAGAGCTAAGTCACTTCAATGTCTATCTTCTTACATGTCGTACAAAGTTTGTTAGTTTCTGTTCTTTCGTACTATGTATAACGTGGTTATGTGTTATATCTACTCCCATGAACATACATTACATAAAGTGTCATATACCTAAGGCAAATTTCATCACAGACACAATGTAGTATGTCATAATTATCACACACATACACTGGTAATATCATGTCACATACAAAGATGCAAAACAGATACTAGGTATACTAGGTATACAAAAAAAGGATCATGCATTGCCTGACATGTAACGTTAGGTAAACAACAATCCTAATTCTTATCATGATCAATTCCTCTGGTGGTGGATTATTTGTATCAAAAAGTGGGAGGCACAAATTACCCAGAACAGAATGTTTTGAACCTTGTTGCTATTGTTATAGACATCTTAAATTTAAAGTGTTTTTGTAACAGTCCATTCTTGAGTCACTTCAGTCTTCATTATAAATTAATTACATGTACTACCGGTAGTCCTATGCGTCTACTCTTAGCATTCTGTTATTGTATACTCAGACATTTTCCCAAGGACGTGCAACATCCATTTGACTTAAATTACCAGTAGATAAGTTGAGATTAGATTTGACAGAGAACTCGCTTCTAGTAACACTAAGTCTTGCAGATCACACAATGTATCTGTAGCATATCTCGAAACAAATTACTAGTACCTTACAACTATATTGTGCATTGAAAGTCAAACCACCACCAGTGACATCAGTATCAAAATACATTGTATGATTCTTACAACAACAAAACCAGAAAAATGAATATGTTCATGAAATGAATGATTGAGGTACAATCATGTGGCATATAGCCAGACTCATGTTTTTTTAATGCCACACTGACTTAATTTATGGATGACATCCTCTGACGAGTGACGACCCAAACTAGTGCTCGCAGGTGAATAAAAAAATGCTGCTAAACCACAGGAATACAAAGTTGAAAAAATTGTGAATTTGTGGTAGTACATAGCAACTTTTACGACAAGCCAGCACATGCTGGCCTTTCGCGTCAGCACTGTACTGAGTTCTTGAGTTCCGTTTGAGCCTCGGCAGCCTGGGTGCCATCCTCCATAGTTACCGCCAGCTCCCTACTGTCGCTGGCTACTATGGACCATGAAGGATAGCACCCAGGCCAGAGCCTCAAAGGAGGACAGCCAAAAATCAATGCGCGCTCAGATGTCATCCATAAAATTAAATCAGTGTGGCCTAACCATTGCAAACAGCCAGATCATGATAATGCACAATGAAAGATGCTTTCCTCTCTATACTACCTGAGAGATAAATTAAAGTTAAAGTTAGTATTCAACTATAATGTAATAAGAATCATAAAAATTGAAAAGAAACTGGATCCTTAGACAGTTGTGTCACTAATAAATGTTTCTACTAAAAGAATGGGTACCAAAACAACTATTTCTATTGCATAAATTTGTATCATTGATAGGTTATTTATTTACCGGTAACAGTTATAATTGGCTGAATGGTCCCTGGTTTTCACAAGGTAGTGACAACATAATATGGTATTAAGACTTGTATGGTTCAGAATTATATGTGGTATCTTGAAATTCTCTGCAGCACAATGTCAGTCATGCAATATATATTCAAACTACAAAAGAACCTCTCAATTGATAGATATTAAATACACTTGTTTGACCTACTTGCATGTTTATACATGTACATCTCATCATTTTACAATTCAAGTACAATTGTATTCAACAATACATGTGCCTTCTCATTTAGATTAAACAAATACCACTGTCTACTGTAGGATTACACTACAGAAATATGTTGCTTCTTACAGAACAAAAAACTCCCAACATGAAGCTACCAGATGCCCACTTGTGGCAGTGTTGTTTTTGTACATACGTGAAGCATTGTAAGCTGTAAGCAGTAGCTTGAGCCTTGAGGCTTTTGTTCTGGGCTGCGGCAGACCATCTAGCGAGGATCGATCTTGAAGAGGAACTTCATGTTGTACAGGGTGTTCAGCGTACGCCAGATAACGGTGGTGAACGGACTGGAGTCGTAGGGGACGCTGTGCTTACGGCATATCTCCTGAATCATGTCAGCAACCTGAAACAGAAGGGTACGGACTGATGACATCTTTCAGACATATCATTTTATGTTTATTTCCTCCACTAACACATATACACATGGTCACATCAGGGTGAGTTCAAGGATGCTCAGGGCACGGTACAAAGTCAAACACTGAAAATTGGGCTCCTCTCATTATAGAAGCAGTGACAAGTCTCACTGGGTCACTCTACTGAAGAAGATCAGAGTGACTGGTTGAAAGCTCTAGGTATCTGTATACTAAGCCGGTATAACTGCCTCTTGGCGTAACACATCAGCTTTGCAGGCATGCGGCGTGGCAGCAGCTGGCTACATTACATCGAACGACTTGTTACACCTTGAACATCTAACTCTAAACATTGTTTAAAGTTCTCTAATGATATGTCCCTACTTTACTTGGTGACAGTGAGTTCCACTCTGCATTTTGCCCATGTTTGAAATATTCTGATAACAATTCCTTATGTATGTATGCCTTATTTCAATTCAATTATGTTTACTTTTGGTTAGTATAGAGGAGGAGGGCTTAGCATAAGCTAAATAAGCTTTTTTCCCTCCTCCGGCACCTGTTTTATTCATTATTAATTTATTATGTATAATTTTTAATGCTGTTGTGCAAATAATAAACAAACAAACAAGTTCTAGGAAAGAATGAATTTTTTAACACCTCAATCCTTGGCTGATAATTCTGGTACTTGAGAACCATTCATTGTGTTGTATCAAAAGGTTTTTAAAGTTAAAACTTTAAACATGTAACTACAAACACAGATGAACTTTCATGAAAGTCTGGTTCAAGCTTGTTTTGCATGATTATATTCTTTTTTTTTTTTTAATTCCAACATGTAATCACCAGACGTGGTGACGGCACACTCAAGTTTTTTCAACTTATATTAATGCCGCCACCAACACAGGGGACAAATACTATACTCATTGCAGTGTTGTGAATGCCTTTGGAGGAAGAATTGCTTTCTGGTAAAACTAGAAACACCTACAAAACATTGTGTAAAGGTGAGTAAAAAAAACTACAGCAGTTAAAATCATACATCTGCTTGGAGATTGGGATCAATCAAGGTTGCTTTCTGATTGAATCTTGTCCATCCTACAAAATACAGCATGCGCTTTTCAAATCGTGTTAACTGTAACTGTGGCATCAAACAATCACTGTAAGAGAATACTACTAGGTAATGTTTCCATTGTATGGGGACAGGCTTATATCAGTCTTTCTCAGGAGTGGGTGGTTTGTTTGGGCAGTAAAACTCACAAACCTGTCCTCGACCTCAGGCTAGTGCCTCTACACAAAAACGTGTGTGCAGAAGACCTTCTCCATTTGATCTTAAGCTTAGCAACTGTGATAACCTGGGTTAATGCACAAGGGCTAAGCTGAAATAACTGCCCAAAGACCTTAAGTCCCAGTCACACATAACCGAATATGGCATCTTTCAACCGTGGTTAGGATTTGGTCAGGAGCAAGGTCGGCTACTGTTTGGCTGTGACAGCTGAATGTTTCAATGGTGAAAACGTTTGGATGTGGACGGGAGGTTTGGTTATGGTTGGCTGGGGTTCGGGCGTTGTTGGAAGTCAAATTTGACTCAAATTTAACTCAAACTCGATTCGATTTTTATCAAAAGTTAACCTTAATGACCTTAATCTGGTCAGACTGCTGCGCAACATTGGTCAGCTGGCTGGTGTTTGGGGGGAAGGTCCTCCATGTGTGAAAGGGGCTTCAGCAAGTGAGGCCAAATGTCTGAACATTGCGGACAGTATTGTAAATCACGATTTTTTCGCGGTACTTTTATATTGGCAGTTTTCATGGTCACTTTTGTACTGTGAACTTATCATTAACGTGAACGAATAACTTGTCAACTTTTTCTTTGCTGCACCTGCTGCCAACGCGAACGTGTAGTTCCGCAAACGTGTCCATCTTTCTCAGACCGCAAACTTTTGCTATCACGAATATCAAGTGATTTACAGTATCGTGCTGTGTTACCGTACCTCGCGCAGGTTGTGGCGAGGAACCCGTGGGAAGCAGTGGTGCTCGATGTGGAAGTTGAGGCCGCCGTGGAACCAGTCCATCCACCAGGGGTTGGAGATGTTGATGTTCTGCTCCGTCTGAGGGGTGGAAAGAAATTAAAAACTATTGATGAATCTCTTATAATCACTCCATTGGCCTTTTGTTTCCTGAACCCCCCTGATACAAGTTTATAAAGCCAGGAACAGAATACACACCTGAGCAGCTAAACCTATTCACACCTGCAGGGCTCTAGCCAGCTCTTAATTATTTTCCATCAGCCCAGGTTCATGATCAGACCTGGGGGGAGGGTGCTCACAATCTAGGGGGGTCTGTAGGCAAATTTTGGACTTTCAAGCCTTTAAAAACACAATTTTCAACATTTTAAGAGGCAAATCATGGGATTGAGAGTGGTTGCTGGTGGTCCTTTGGATGTTTTTATATTTTTTACCCAAGATTTTGGTCAATTTTGTCTGTCAATCTTGACTGATTGGTGGAAAAATTTTTCCTTCACAAGCCACAAAGTTTCTGCAATTGACGGGAAAACAGGTGCTGGAAAGAGCCCTGAACATTAACAGCTGACACCATAGTGTCAGTGATGCATCAGAAAGAAGACAGCCAAAAGTTTTCCCCACCTGGTATCTGTAGAACTCCATCTGATGCAGCTCATCCTTCAGGTAGATGTCCTTGGCGTAGTGGTTGATGAGGATCTGGATGTGCAGAAGGCCTTCCCCAAAGGCAGCAATGGTGTAGAACATCGCCCGCTCCTGTGGATGGGGAAGATTGACTTTCAATTTACTTTTGCCTCCGTCAGAAGGGTATGTTTTCGGTACGGGCTGTGGTGTGGGTCTGTATGTATGTCGACGTCATAAGTCGAGAAGTTGTAGATGGCCCTTTTTGATATTTGCTATGTAAAAACGTTAAAACTGTTATAAAAACGAAGGTCAAAAATGGTACACCTGGCATTTTGCAATGGTACTGTAGGGGGATTTTTATACATTTGTTCATTGTATGTGTACCACATATCTCGAGAAGCTGTTAATAGATATTGCCAGAACTGAGAGTGTAAGAATTGACTATCACACAAAAGTTCTGTCTCTAACCCCATACTAACCTGCCAAGTTGGTAGGAGGGACAGAAGTGCACACATCCACATCCAGTGGAGGCCAAACGCAATGAACTGACGAAACTCCTTCTCGTCCTTGTAGCTGCCGATGATGGCATCAATCCGCCCCCCGATCATGCAGGCTGGGATGAAGATGATGTGCTGAATCTAACAATAAAAGAATTGTGGTGTGTTTACAAAAATGTTACACTTACAGATAGAATAATTTGTGCTAAAAGCTAGTGGGTGTTGCTGAACACTGTACATCACAATTTTTTTGCGATACTTTTATATTCCTGATTTACACAGTGACTTCTGTACTGCAAACTTATCAGTACATTGTACCATGCACAAATAATTCCGCAACATTCTTTTTTCTGCACCTGCCACCACCGTGAACGTATAGTTCCCTGAACATGTCCATTTTTCTCAGACCGCGAACTTTTGCTACTGGCGAACAAAAAGTGATATACAGTAATGGATTGAATATTCCAGTACAACACAAAGTGGCAATGGTGGCCAGTGATTACTTAGAATTGACTAACGATAAAAGTTTAAACTTTCTTACAAAGTATTGTGCACTCTATTGTAAAACTTTAAACTGACACTATGGACATTTTTAGTGCTAAAGAGCCAAGAAGAAGCCTGGAGGGTCTGTTTAATGTTCTACGAGTGCACATCCATGATAACAACTTCAGGTATTCCTCACCTGAATCAGGAAGGCCTGAAATTTGGTCTTCATTAGTGGAAACAGCATGGCATTCTGGGCCCAGGTGGGCTCAAACACCTGCGGGTCCTGGAAGTCGGTCTTGTAGCATATCGTGTTGGTCAGCATGTGGTGGACCCAGTGTTCGTCGCGCCACCAGTTAGCACTCACGCCGAAACAGACGGATCCAACAAACGTGCCCACAAGGTTGGTCACCTGTAGTGGAGAATAAAAGAAATGAATGTCTTGTCACATTGTTTTTATCATTCTAATGTTAGGCCAGACCAATTTCTTGGATTCGCCCATTTCATTTCTTTTCTGATTTGCAGTAAAAAAAGTAGTCAACAGGTTAAGTCCAAAATGCACATATTTTGGCTCAAAGAGTTGAAGAAAGCTCTCATCTTCCTAGCTTTGTTACAGTTTTCATCTATCAATGCATTTGTTTGATTAAAAGTTCAAAATTCATTGTTTGAATAATAAACCAGCCGGATAATATGTTGATATCATGGTTCCTATCATAGCTTTGGGGGAATTATCATAGGATGCCTAGTTCTGTTTTATTCCCCATTGCTTCATTTTTTTCTAAAAATATTTAAGAAACAACAAATTGACATGGTATGGCCTTATACTGTTATAGTGACCAAGGCAATATATATGTCTTCCTATCTTTAGAGATCAAGGTATATAGATTCTACATAGATAGATAATTTTTAGGAAACTAGTAATTGCCATAAACAGGTATATTTGATTTTACCAAGGACATCATCCTTGATTTTACCTTTTGAGTTTCAAAGATCTGGTGGTGCATGAGGTCGTGCATCATGAAGCCGATCTGCTGCCAGAACATGGCGAGCAGCACCCCGGCCAGACAGTGGACCCAGGTCTGCTGGAACCCCACCACCAGCCACACCACGGCGGCGAAGATGAGCGCGCACACCGCCGCCTTCCGGGCGTACCAGAACAGGTTGGTCTTGTAGTACCCCTCCTTCAGTAGCCGCTCGTACAGGCCCCGCATGTCCTGGTTGAACGGGTCGGCGGAGAAGTCGTACTTGTACGTGCCCACAACCTTCAGCGCCTTCAGGTACTTCTCGGAGACCCCGCTGACGGGGTGCGTGCTGCGGAAGATGTCCGTGGCGTCCTTGTTCAGGAAATATTTCAGGATGTCGCCGCCGGGGTGGCGGTCGATGAACGTGGTCACGTCGTACCACTTCCCTGCGACGCCGACGACTTTCCTGTCGGCGGCCAGGCCATTGGGCGTCGGCCCGGAGCTATCCGCCGCCTTCTGCCGCTGCGTTAAGACGGTCTCCATGTGCTCTTTGTAAGCCCCCATGTTTCTTCTATCTGTAAAACAAGCGTGAATGTCAATATCATTACAAAAGAGAACAGTTACCGGTAAATACTGAGCAATAAGTGTGTGCGGGTTTGACAGTTAGCAAACACTCTCCTAGTCTAGTTCCGTCTAGAAAACCGTGAGATCGGTTCTGTTTCCCACATTCCCCACTTAGAAAACAGAATAATACATGCCAATGCGGAACGCAACAAGGGGGAAATGGTATTAAACGCAGACGAATTTCTCCTTTGTGCCTTCGCGCGCACACCTGTTAGCACACCATGCTTAGGAGAACCACGTCCGCATCGAGTTATCCAGGCTACCCACCTGTCACAAAATGTCACACGCGAAATAAGATCAAGAATTCTACACGTATGCAAGAAACGCTAGTTCTGACCAGCATGGAATGTCACTTGCAACATATAAGACCAGGTCTCTCACCGTTATTTTACCCTTGGCACGTACAATAAACGTTATGTGTCTGGCAACCATTTGAAGTGCAAATTGCTGCGCTGAATGAAAAGCCGGGTGGCGTGACTACTCAGGTGTTTCAGACAGAGGTCGCGGGGGTGCAGGTCAAGACTTTCGGGACATTTTCGCCGCCATCCAAAGTCTGAAAGGACATACTAGCGACTGCTCTGGTGAGAGAGTGTGTATACTGTATAGTATGAAGCGATTATGATTTCATTTTAGCCATTCAGTCTTTCATTAATCTCATTCTCTAGTCTATTCAACTGAGACCCCCCCGAGCATTTAGTAGTTTCGCCCGTGCTAGTACCGGCACCGAGCAACACGGGTAATTGATGACGTCAGTAAGTACCTAGTGCCTTTCCCTAATACCCCGGCACCGAACAATGTAGGGAGGCGTGGTCACCGCTGTTTATCTTGGTTACGATGGGTAAACAGTGACCCGGGTCACCTCTTGTTGAAAGAAGGTCGAGGCACATCGTACCACGTGTTGGCTTGGGTAAATCTCCAAGCAGATGTAAGGAGCTGGCTCAGTCTTGTTTTACACCTTAATTTGCGCCATCTTTTTACAGTAGTGTACTAGCTAAGGTATCCTTTTTTAAACTCGTCAGCTGGCGAAGAGTAAAAGAATTGGATATAAGGCTTTAGGATAATGAAGCATTCGTTGCTGGCATATTTTGCTGAATGGTTCAGTTCCCTATTTTTAGCTTTTCATCATTCATGTTACCTGTAGATCGAGAAAAGGCTGGAAAAAAAGTAGAAATTGCCGAGCGGCCGACTCCCCTGGCATATCATCTGTCAATTTGGCCATTTGCATTGTCTACTTTTTCCCGAAGACTGGTAGAGGCTAGTTAATGGTCACTCCTCTGGTCAATGGGTACTGTTTTGCCACCGTAGGATGCTACTTGGAGATTACTCTTTGCACCCAGTGACGATTGAGTCTTGTCGCTGTAGACAGTCACACGTGATATATACTGTATGTATTTTATGTATGTTTGTATGTATGCACATGTCTGCTGCGGCCCAAAACAGAAGTACCTGTCAGAACTACTAGTCGACCGATGCAACACTAGTTGCGGGAGGATCTGTGTATGCATATGTATCTCTAAAGCTATGTATTAGGTGTGACTGTCACAACGCCAAGACTCAATCATCACTTTGTAGCAGCTTCGCAAAATTCCTGAACAGGATCTAACACACAAGCCTGCTGTTCCCTGTCAATCTTGGTTATCCTGTCGGCACTGTGCAAGTTACCGCAAAAATGTCCCCGCGCCAGACTGGATGAAACACGACACTTTGGGCCCCACTGATACTTGCCATACCTCCCTGTCAAGTCACTGTCATTGCTGAGCAGCTGCTCTTGTATTACATGTATCAGTACGTCGTGTAACGCGTGCAAAGCTTACGTTCACTGCTGCAAGAAGTGTCCAAATATTTATAAAAATCACTGATTGACATGAAGCAGACATATCAACGCTCACGATTGACGTATCACTGCTAGTGTTATATTATATTATATCAATGACTGAGGAAAACGTACATATTCGCTATGAATCGCTGTACATACCGAAATAAAGAAAATGCCTCCAACGAAAGAAAATCTGTGTGTTACAGGAAGAGCGTTCTTGGTTTGAATGAATATCTGAAGGCAGATGCGAAGCGTGACCAAGAGCTCTTCAGTAAAGCAATACTATCCTTGATAACGTGTCCATGAAAACAATCGAAAGGATAAAATGAAACCGGTATCCAAGCATGCCGCCTTTGTAGAACCGTGCAGTACTTGTGTTAAAAGGCTCTTGATAATTCTGCCTACATAAAGATGTCTGCTGCAAATTTTGCCTGCAGACAGAGAGCTTTATGAGCCGTAATAAAATGTTCAAAACGTGATAATACAAAGAAGGTTGCATCTGGATCTTGCACTAATACTGGTATTGCATGTCACATTGAATGTATCGTCTGGCTCCATGCACATGAAGTAAATACGACGTCTCCAAGCAAATGAGTCGTGGTGATATCATCCTACAGGCAGCCACCAAATATATCTGGTGCGTGACTGGAGACTCCGTTCGATATAGATACTGTATTCGTCAGCAGAACTGATTGCCTCTTACGTCATCGTCAATATCTCATGTAATACGGCTACTGCAAAGTACTAGTAACCGAAGTCAACGTTCTGTATCTGTATCAGTATGTAGCCGGTGTAACCGCCCGTCGGCGTATTATATAAACACACCAGCACGCGGCGCGGCGGCAGCTAGCTCATGTTACACCGAACGACCTGCTACACCCAATCTTTGTACATTTAAGTGCACATCGCAACGTTAACGTTTCCACCAAATAAGAACTGAGAAGAAATATGTGCAAACTTGAGTGATTTTGCATGCGTTCCTATCGTTACCGCGAGGCTAGCGTGCATTAAATATTCCGTTCAGGAAATACAGACGCTATTATAGAACAGTATATCGGTCCATCTGTCTGTCTAGTGGCGTGATAGGTATAAGCACAGGTGGTTATGTGGCGTTTGGCAAACCGCAAAATGGCCCGGAGGCTTGAGACAGACAATTTGGTGAGGAAAAAACGACAGCCAGCTTTGTTTAGCATACGACAGACGTACAAATGCGAGACAATAAAAAGAATGAACACAAACATGCACGCAACCTACTGGGATCCTGAGATCGGCGACTCGACTAGCAATAGATGAGGAGTCTATCGTTACGTCTCTTCCATCTATCATGCACTGTGAAGTCTTCCCGTCTGCCTGCTGCAGATTTTAACGTGAAATTATACAAATTGCTGATGGGCAGACTCTCCTAGCTCCACAAGGTTGCAGCAAGACGCAAGCAGCACTGAGGTTCCGGTACGTGCGTGGGATGGGTGATGAGGAAGGCCGGTCACAGGGGAGTCTGGCTCCCAGGAAATGGTGACGAGCACCGTGAAATTTGGTCTGATTGGTCGCTGGAACCGGCCAGATTTCTGGCGCTCTACTTGTCCTAGATCGGTATATTCCCATCCAACCTTTGCTTGCAGAAATATTTCGGACAGATGGCCAGGTCTCAAGACTCGTGCTTGCCGAAATAATTCTGCTAGCTCTCATACATGCCATACAGGTATTCATTTTACGGTGCTCTTGTATAAAACCCCCCAAATAAATACGCAGATATATGTATGCGAGACACCGTTTACAATAACAGAATGGACTGTGCTCTACCACGCACCAAATGCATGCTACAGGTTACTTGCAACTCAGCATCTTTTGCTAGAGGAATTAGCATTGATAGGTGACTTTGATTGATTGATTGGCCAGGTGTGAACCTAGTAATCGGGCCAATAGGTCATTGGCCCTTGGGCCGAGCGGGGACATTATATAATGTCCTTGGTCCGAGTGGGTCAACCATAGGCCAAATGGGTCGTTTGGGAACGTTCCAATCAATTTTATAATTTACGAGCACTTCTGGGCCAACTGAACCCTCTCCGGACGGTTTATTTATCCACCTGACCACATTTTGACCAATTTGTTCCATTCGTTCAGCCCCGGTTTTAAGAGTGACGTCATACAACAACAACATCATGCGATCGTTACGTCACGCGACGCGAGGTCCCAAAAAAAGAGCAGCCCGAGTCTAGACTCTAGTGACATACTTGTATGCCTGTGTTTCTTCGAATTCAGACATGCGGATGCCTACTCTCTGCATTTTATATGCCGCTGTAATACCAGCGTAATGATAACTATGGCCGCCTGTATTTTGTTCGACGATTACGATCCATGTGAATAATTTAGCATGGACAGAGACGTACGTCCATGTGTGGATCACGCATGGACTGCCCGGGTGATGTGGTCATGCAATATTGGGGAGGAACCATTCATTATTCTCAAGGATGGAGAAAATTACAACAGGATTATGCTGCCTTTCTCTATCCATACCCAAGTTGAGACGAGCTGGGCTAACATTGAATAACTTGCACGTTGAAGAAGAAAGGGGAACCTTAAACATATGGAACAGACTATTATCTGAAAGGGGGGGGGAGGTTGTGTAACCCAGTATCATCTGTTTCCATATTAGGTAAATGGCTTCAATAAACCTTAGTACTAATGATTTCTTTGCGGAAGCAGTGGAAACTCTACACGCCAGCGACTGGCATTGAAATTCAGGGAATTATACATCCGTGTGCTTGGCACTACACTGAGCTGCGTGTGTCAGACAGTAGGCTAGGAGCAGCCAGGAATTCTATTGATGCTTTACCTCTCTTCTCAGAATGACTCAGTCGTCATACAATGCGCTCTTTTCGACGCTCAGTCTACCACGTCTACTCCGGAAATAGTCACGAAATGTGCTGCTCTGTCTGCGGAGGCCAGATCGGCATGATATGTTACAGCGGGGTTTTGGTATGGTCCGACGGGTTGTTGCATCACCACAGTAGATCGATATAACCTACTTTACAGGCAGCCGCGTGGGTTACTGAGAGGCCACAGCATGTTGAGAGGCCTGGGCGAGGAAACTGAACACAATGATCTGACATTCGCCGTAAGATCCTGCCAGCAAGGATTATTGCCAAAATATTATGAGGGGAAAAAAGAAAATAACATGACAAACCTTGTTGATGCCAACTGCAATCTGGCTGCTCGCTACAATTTCAGAGAACAGGGACCACTTTGAGCATTCTTTGCCCAGCACGGCTCTTGTGTCTGCAGACCGGCTTTTGTATGCAGCATGTAGAGCGCCGGTTCCCTGCTGAAGGACCGGTATCACGCTCTGGGTGCGTGGGGTCAATCCCGGCATGCCCGCCAGGCGGGAAACTACGAAAATGATCGACGCACAAATGACATCTGGATTTCTAACTTCCACAAATCATGCACGTTGGAAATGGTACCTAGCACTAGATGGATATTATATTGGCACCTGTCGAAAGATACATTGTTCGGACGCCTATAAAGACTCTGACTTTGACCTAAAACTTGAATGGACATGTGGATAACCTACTTGGATGGAGGAAAGAACAAACAAACAAACAAACAAACAAACAAACAAACAAACAAATGAGTGAAAAATTGCGTGAATTGGTCATTCAAACAGTGCAATGTAAAGTGCCAAAGAGGTGTGAGTGCGTTTGTAATTATAGAATCTATAGTATATAGGCAGAACAATTGCAAGGACTGCTAAAAGCAGCTATTTAAAGGAGGAAGGCAGAACAACTGGTTTACTGAAGGATTTTGATGTGTCAGGTTGGCAGGAGTGGGTATACGTAGTGGTAGGAACACACACGGACAGTAACCCGGTCAATGGTCGTGGGAAGCTTGACACATCCTTTCCCTGTCTTCTTTCTTTCGTCTATATCTCAGTAACGTCGAAAAGTTACCAAAGAGAAGAAGAAAAATACCCTTGTTTATCTCGTCTATAGATCTAGTTCTCCTCCTTTTTTGATTTGATACTGTATTTTGCAGCCACCGAAACATCTGCTTGATTTTATTGTTATGGATGGTGGCATCACATATTAAACCCACAAATTCAGACACACAGCTTTAGACATAGCAATAGTTTTAGACAATTAGACTTGATTATGTACATTTTGAAGTTTTCTTCGTTACTCTGTTTCAATGTTCTTTTATGTTTGTAACTTACCCTCGGGAATAGATTTGCAACTAGAGTTCCACGATCTCATACCTTCGCCAAATGAGGTTAGCCTTTATGGCTAAGAAATTATAGATTAATTACTGATTGTGCAAATAGGATCCTATATTGCATCAATTATATCTGTAGATCATATTCTACACCAGAAGACAGTCTTATCTTATCAAAGAATGCCATTATAGTATTTCCTCATAAATTATGCAAATGAGGTCCTTATTTGAATAAGTTATGTTTAATTATGTTCACCTTTACATAACTTTCAAATATCCCAAGTATGAAATTCCAGGCAGTTACCACTATGTAATTATAACATTTTCTCATTAATTATGCAAATTAAGTCCTCATTTGCATAATTGATATCTGCCTGTATTTCTGCCGTTCTCAATTATGTATGACACATGCTTGAATAGTCCTATCATGGAATGCAGCTGATTAATAGACTTTCCTCATTAATTATGCAAATTACATTAATATTTGCATAATTGTAATATCATTATGTCAAGCATCACTTCAGCTACCTACATGCCAAAAATCACGACGATCCATCCACCGGTTCTTGAGTAGTTATTAGCCTTTAAACATTTTTCAACTAACGCCCCTGCAGTTCCAGAGCAAGCAGCTAGCACGTCACTTCTTCCCCAGCACGAGAGCTACCTACCATGCAAATTTCGTCACCCTAGCATGTCTGGATCATGAGATATCAAAACCGGAAGTTCAGCTGCAGTACCATAACAAGCCGCCAGGGGGACCAAAATCTAATCAGTTCGAGCTCTCATCAAGACCTACCCACCTATCAAATATCAAGATAATCCATCTAAGCTTTCTCGAGTTATGCTGTTGACAGACACACACACACACAAACACGGCCAGGAAAACATAACCTTCTCCAATTCTTGGCGAAGGTAATAAACTTCTCTAACCGCAGCCTTCATAAAGAGTAGAGTCCGATGCGGTCCCGTGGGAAATGCAGACGGCAGTGGTGTTGACGTTGTTTTCCTCGGGTCGCTTTTCTATTTATCAAACACTTAAGAGACCCAACATTTTGCAGTTTTGTAAAGCTTTATGTGTTCTTATGTATGTGACAGTTGTGTGACTTGGTAAGTATTTTCAACCTCCATGGTTACAGCATGAAACAAGGAAAATCGTAGATTTTGTACCTCCGGGTATTGTAATGTATGTTGCAGAATGTTGGGTGCATGTTGGGACTGTTCTTTGAATTAACTAGTGAATTCGCGCGAATACCATTTTTTTCGAAAAGTTTCGAAATGTTTGTAATTGGCTAAATGATGTGTGAAATCACTAATCCCCCCTAGCCGACTGGAGCCCAAAAATAGAAAGGACAGGAGGCATCCCGTGGCGAATCTGGCTGCCCGACCCTCAGCGACCAGCGATAATGTAAACAAACACAGTAACGGGTGTCCGAGACACGAAAAGGAAATACAAATAATCTTACGCCCCAAAACACATATACAATAAAACAAAAAAAACCTGCACCATCTACAGCCCATTAACAGAAGATACACCGAGTCCCGAGAACGTCTGAGACAGTATACCACGGTATTCAGTACAGAATACATCCGAAATTGCGCAAGAGGGCGTTGACCCCTGACCCATTGGCCCACCCGGAAGTTCGTTGGCTGCGACCCGCGCGATCCCACCAGGCACGAGACGTTGATTGACGGCACATGTGGTTCACATCTGAACAGTTTCAAAGAATGCTGACACCCCTCTGTGTGAAAGGTCAGATCAGTGGTCGCGACCTCAATGGT